ATTCGTGTAGAATGTAACATTTAATTATAAATATGAATAGTATGTTTTGATCAGCAGTTCCTCACACATTTCATTTTGTTTTTATATTCTGACACTGTGTTTCTGATGCATACTTAATGTACCATACACCTATTATCCAATTAGTTGGTTGCAGCATAAACACCAGTCATCATAGTTTGAATTAAAAGATTTACCCCTTCTAAAATGTGCCCATCAGTCAGTAGTCATTTACAGAGACTTGTCTTAACAAACAACAGATCATTCTGACCACCCAAGAGGAAGTGTATGATAGAATTACATGACATATGTATCTTCTTGTTTTGGTAACATTATGTTGATAAAATATTGCCAGACTTGAATTACCGACTGCAAAACGTCAATAAGGCCAGACCAATTTTATTTCTTGTTTTATGGATCAGCAGGTCATATTTTTTCAAGAATTTTATTTTTTTAAAATTTTCCCCGCTCAAAAAATAAATCCTAATGTTTTTATTAGTCGAAAAGGTAAACTTAAAAGAAAATCATTTTAAGATTGCTTTTTGCCCCATATACACTTCATTAATTGCCAAAAGTAAAATACTTTTAGTATTTAGAAGGAATATTACTTAGACTGGTGATTTTATTTTTATTTTCTTTCCCTCCTGCCTTTAGGCTTTCTGAGGACTAAATCCGTAAAACAAGAAATAAAATTAATCTGGCCTAAAACAACAAAACATGAACCGAAAACGAATAACGCCTCACTTCAAATAGCCATTTCGCGATTCCTTATTGCAATATAAGCAGTCATGGTATCATGGAATCACAGAACAAATATTTCTCAACATACTTACTCGTGCGCTCAAGATAAATTATATTTCATCAGGTCCCTTCAGCGCTTCCGTACTTGATCTATCATCGGTCAAAGGAAAATATATCTACTGTCCATATGCACCAGCGTGAACGCTAACAGTGATGGTGAAGGCTTTACTGGTTAACTGTCTCTAAGTGGTTAGTAACATGCACAGCACCAATCGCACATGAGACATGCGCTGTCAGTTTAAGTACAGGGGCGTGTCACGCTTAGAGTGAGTGAGTGAGTTTAGTTTTACGCGGCACTCAGCAATATTCCAGCTATATGGCGGCGGTCTGTAAATAATCGAGTCTGGACCAGACAATCCAGTGATCAACAGCATGAGCATCGATCTGCGCAATTGGGAACCGATGACATTTGTCAACCAAGTCAGCGAAACTGACCACCCGATCCCGTTAGTCGCCTCTTACGACAAGATAGTCGCCTTGTTATGGCAAGCACATGGGCTGTCACGCTTAGAAACAGCGTTAGAAAGACATATAGGTATATAGACCCTACCCTAGTACTAGGGTAGGATCTATACCTATATGTCTTTCTAACGCTGTTTCAAAGCGTGACACGCCCCTGTGAGTTGAAGGTTGGACTGTCCGGATCAGCGCTCCTAGAAGATCCTAGCAGATTTGTGAAGGGAAGATAAATTCAAAAAGATCGCCCATTTAGATGCTTGAGAGACTTTTCAAAAATTATATTTTGTTAATGTTGACTTTTAAGACACATTTTTCATTTGATCGGGCTAAAATTATTGCTGTCGGTGACATTTTGTAAAATAAACAAAAGATTTTTTTTGTTCTGTCGGAAGGAAAATTTGGGTCAGTCGGGAGATGAGAAACACAGAAAAAAATATGGACGGCCTTATATGATTTATTACATAATTAATCTTGTGTAATGAAAAACAGCATTAGGTTATTACCAAATAGAAGTGATGGCTACACTTCCTTGCTCTTATGGTGTTGGTGTCATAAAACACAAATATTGTACATTAATGGCTCAGAAGTAAGGAGCCAGAGAGGTGTCACGCTGCTCCAAATGTATAGAGTCTCAGGGTGCTGGGGAAGTGGGGAAAGCACACTCACTCGGGTCACCCCCTGGGGTGGGGGTAGACTAACATCCAGTTTCTCAAATGAACATATTTTACACACAAAAAAGCCAAGAGATTTTCTTCATTTTCAGATACTGTGGAAATCTATACGGTACTTGCTAAATATTCTAGACTTGCATGGGCTTTCTTGGATATATTTGTTTCAGGGTCTTTATAGTGTGGGAGATGTATGTGTTGTTTAACACTTTCCTCAGCTATATTGCTGCTAGATGGTTTTAGTCTATACAATTACTGGTCTGGACCAGTGAGTGAGTGAGTGAATGAGTTTAGTTGTAAGTCGCACTCAGCAATATTCCAGCTATATGGCGGCGGTCTGTAAATAATTGAGTCTGGACCAGACAATCCAGTGATCAACAGCATGAGCATCAATCTGCGCAACTGGGAACCAATGACATGTGTCAACCAAGTCAGCAAGCCTGACCACCCGACCCCGTTAGTCGCCAATTACGACAAGCATGGGTTACTGAAGGTTTATTCTAACCCGGACCTTCATGGGTGGTCTGGACCAGACAAATGTGATTGAGCAACATCCTAGGTATGTCAATTAATCCATAAGTCTCCTATCATGAGTGAGTGAGTGAGTGAGTGAGAGTGATCATCCAAGGAATCTTCACCTGATTTATGGTGGTCAGGCAGGGTAACTTAGTTGTTTACATGTTGTCATACACTTATGTATCATTGCTTACATATGAGTCTCTGGATTGTCTAGATTTATGTGGTGTCGAGTGAGTGAATGTGGTTAAACGCTGCTTTTAGCAATGTTCCAACAATACCACAGCAGGGGACACAAGAAATGGGCTTCACACATAGTACCCATGTGGGGAATCATCCTGTGTTTTGGGCATGACGAGTGAACGCTTTAACCACAAGGCTACCCCACTGTTCCATGCCCTATTAATAGCATTACGAGCAACATGGGCAGCCTATTCTAACCCTGGTTCCTATGGAGTCATTTTGTGAGGAACCTAAGATAGTCGCATCTCAAAGCAAGGAACTGAATGACGCTGTTCTAAGCTGAACCCTGACAGAGTGTTGTAACGAAGTAATATTAACTGTAAAACTCTTCTTTGTTATGTAAAAATACAACATCAAAAACACACATAAACATACTGTATTAACATTAAAAAAATTTTAAAAAATCTCTCATAGATTTATAGATGGCATTCCTGCTATGCTGGAGTCATTGTCTTTGGAAAGGAAACAAGAATATGAAAAAACACACCCTTAACCTCTCTCAAGCAGCTAACTGTGACAACAGACGAGTGTTGTTTGTTGTTACCGGTCACGTTCAGCAACACTGCAGTCATGACAGCTGCCTATACAGGGATTTACCTGGAGTCCTGTATTGGAGGGTCCCTGGGACTCATACTCTTAATTTTCAGACTACAAAATGGAGGTCCAGATACTCAATATTATTATTAATACTGTGATTGTCTTGTGTATCATGATCATCACATTGTTACAGTAATTACATTGCAAACGATATCATAACCCGGCTAGTAGCAGACTCAATGATAACTTAGTGTTAGTTGATCGAAATTTTTACAAAAAGTATTTGGACATTTTCTGCGTCCCTGTGGATGCGCTAATAAATTTCGTTGCGTCCGTTGTAAAATTTTATGAGTATAGGACGCAGGAAATCGCGTCCTGTAAATCCCTGCTATAAATAAGCCAGTGTAGAAGATAGATGAGAGACTGAGTGCAATGTCCCATTCCACAGGTCCTGAGTACGACGAGGCCTGCAAACTATTTCCTTACCTGGCAACATTTGGTATGCTACCATAAGGAAAGCTTGTGTGCTTGTTAGGCCAGATAAAAAAAAAAATCTTTCCAAACATCCACTGACTAAAAACAAATTTGAAACACACAAAAAAATATTTCAACATTAATTTAATAATTTTAATTCCGTTGCCCTGACAAAACTAATATGTTAATTTTTTTTAACTCCTCCAGCTTGACATTTGTTGTGGAATCTTTACCTAGTCCTCCAGCCACCTTCTTAAGGTTTCTTGAAGTTTTTGAAATTGGGAATTTTTTTCCGTTATTTATTTTTACCTACCATCCTGAGCAATGTGTCTGTGAAAAAGAAAAGTCTGGCCTTATCTTACCAATACTTCAGTAAGGGTTGAATTTTGTTTTAGCTGTTGTTTAATACATAAAAAGGCAGACACTATCAAATTGCTGTTTTGATGCACAGATCACCCACTCACTCACTCACTCCTTCGATAGCTGAGGACCTATTCTTACCTATTAGGATCTTTATGGGCGACCCCCAATTTTAATGCCTTTGATCACAACCAATATACTTAAGAATCCCCTAACTCACTCACTCACTCACTTACTCCTTCGATAGCTGAGGAACTATTCTTACCTATTAGGATCTTTATGGGCGAACCCCAATTTTAATGCCTTTGATCACAACCAATATACAGTCGTGCCCCGTTTATCCGGACACTTGTGTTTTTCTTGAAATGTCAAATGCTAGCAACCAATCACGAAACAGTTCTTCTGTCATCCACGCTTTCGCATTGTTCCTGTACCTAACATAAACTTCCGGTTTAAAGTCACTACCTAAACAACGGGGACATCTAGCCTTGCCAATCACAACTCAAAATTAACTCAGTGTCATCTTGCTAATGACAGGTAGTTAATCCTCTCACACTTCAAAGACTGCCGACTTCATTTATGTTAGGGCACGCAAGGCCACTCGGTAAAACGTGTGTGTAAACATACTGACAAGTGCTCAGCCATCCGGATATACGAGAAAAATATGCATATAATTTAGCTTTTTGTATGTGAAAATGACCGTCCGGTTATGGAAACCGGATTTCCGGATAAGTGAGTAATTTTACAACGTTGTGAATTCGTTGTAAGGAATTTTTGTTTGGAAGGCGAGTTTTCCGGATATCTGAGGTTCGGATAAATGGGGCACGACTGTACTGAAGAATACCCTAAACAGACAGATCCAGGTGTGTAATTATATAAACCATACACACCAACAAGTCTACGGACAACGATGGAGAGTACAGACAATGATGGAGACATACTTACGCTGGTAATTGCTGATAGCTCCCTGCATATTTGTCGTATTTGAATTTGATCATGTGACACTTGCATGTGTAGGTGTCGATGCACTGTCGGACCATCAGGTCTTTGGCTTGCTTCTTGGCATTCTTTGGCACAGTGGAATATACAGTCCGGTTCTTCTTGGCCGGCGTCGGGGGCTGCAACAGAGAGCAGCACTTCAATAATACTGAATACATGTAATGTTACACAACGTCACTAACATGCTTTAGAAAAAACGGTCTCGGCATATTTTAATGACAATATCATTTCACTCAGCAATATTCCAGCTATATGTGACAGCCTGCAAACATTCGAGTCTGGACCAGACAATCCAGTGATCAACAGCATGACCATCGATCTTCGCAACTGGGATACAATGACATTATCAACCAAGTCACAAAGCCTGAACCGGTTCCCAATTGGGCAGATCGATGCTCATGCTGTTGATCACTGGATTGTCTGGTCCAGACTTGATTAATTACAGACCACCACCATATAGCTGGAATATTGCTGAGTGCAGCGTAAAACCAAACTCACTCACTCACAAATCCTAACTACTCCATCCCGTTAGTCATCTCTTACGACAAGCATAGGTTCTAACCCAGATCTTCATGGGTAGGGTATAATCATGGTAATCACACGCAGCCAACCAACTCGCTTCACCTGACCATATTATTCACACTGCTCGTAATTTTAGCAAGTGAGGTCATAATTTCAGTTGCTAATAATTATATTAAAAAAGATTCAGTGCTATTGGAATGCAAAGAATATCGTAGTCCATTCCTAAAATAAACAATATGTCTTGATAACAATATCATGAATGTAACAAATAGGAGTGATGTTTTGGTGCAGATAATAACACCATTATCAGACTAACAATGATCACACATAATCTGAACAATAAGATAGAAAATTATCTCCCTTTGGCCAACTGTGATGTTTGAAAATGTTTTCAGCAAGGCTGGATTTACGTATTGAGATTTAGGCAACAGATCTGAGCATGTGGGACCTTCCACTTACAAGTAGATACTTGTGTTGGGAATTGGTTGAAATCTCACAATTGATGATTGGTTCAATACCAATGAGTAATCATCGAAAAAAATTTGTTAGGCTCAATTAGAACTTAGATTTTCCTCTTCAGGTTGTTATTGCAGATAAGTATAAAAAAACATTTGGTTCTCTCGGTTGTTTTTAGTTTCATTTAGAAACTGTTCCAATTGCATTTGCAAATTTCACATCCAATGTAAAACAAGTGTTTGCCACTGATATGGCAATGTCTCCTTCCGACACACACACACACACACACACACACACCCCAAAGAATGGAATATCTATATTTACTACTTTTTACTTTTGGTCACATACAAGATGCCTGAAATAACTGGTGTCTGCATAATCACCCAATGTAGGCTGTTAAAGGTCACATGCAACAAAAAAATCAAACATAATTAAAACACAATTATCACTTATTCATGACATATAATATACATTACTGGTAATGAAAAAACATATAAACAAAATTATAAGCGTACAATCGCAAATCAAAAGTGCAATATTGTGTACTTCGGTTTACTTCCCTAGAAACGAAGCAGCCGGGATACCGAACCCAGTCAGAGCGGGTGGGTGTGCACTCAAGTGTAACGGCTGGTTCATTTGCATATGCCCTCACGGCTTATTGTGTGTGTATATGTAGAGATGTTGGGTTTTGTAAATACATGCTCATTTTTTGTGTATAACATTTTGCAATCAACAGACATCAAAACATGTCATGTGTTCAACTATCACACCTGCCTGTCTGTGTAATTACATAATGTGACAGAGACCGAACTCGGGCCATAAATCAATGCATTTTGTTTATGGTGTATAGCCTGATTGGTGTTAAGTTCAAATTGCATGTGGTCAGTGACAGCAGCTGTGTATTGAATATTGTCATTAGCAGACAGGCAGGCAGACACACAGGTGTCAATAAAACAAGACATTGAGTTTTGTCTGTGACAACGACATATCTATATCACAGTTAGAAATTCTGTCAACGCTAAATAATGACATTGCTTTTAAGTATCGAACTGAGAAAGTGACTCGGTAAGGAGAACGTGTGGTGAAATTATATAAACAGTTAATTTACTGTCATAACATATAAAAAAGCTCGCGCCTGTGAGATATCAACAAAACATTAGAAAAATAGCTCACACCAAAGCCTTCACCGAGTATTCACCGGACAACCAACTTCCAAGCTGCGCGAACCTATTTCACTGCGCATGTGCTATGAGCGCAGCCCAGCTGTTGAAACCCGTTTTCCCCAGAAAAGTCTGGGGAAAATTAGTGAAACGTTTGAACTCCGATTTCGCGCGTTTTTTTTCATCGCATTATTTTTCAACTTTATAAGTTGAATTTGCATTTTTGACAATTTGTTTCGGTAAGTCCATACCGAAAGGTATCAGAATCTGCAAAGTTGTGTTTTACGTTGCATGTGACCTTTAACATAATTGAAAACATTTGGTGCAATGTTTTATGAGATATCGCGTTTAAATAAGTTTGAAAAGTGGTCAAAGTGTTGTGGTGACCTTGAAATAAGGTCATCACGCCGAGCACCCGGGTTCGAATCCCCACATGGGTACAATGTGTGAAGCCCATTTCTGGTGTCCCCAGCCATGAATTGCTAGAATATTGCTAAAAGTGGCGTAAAACCAAACTCAGTCAGTCAGTCAGTCTATCAAAATTATAGATTTTCAGAGACAAACTTTTTCTCTAAGTGAGCAAACTTCAGGAGGTCACTGGTTCCTGGCATTTCACTCGCATGAAACAGTAGGGCGATAATAAAGCCACCACGACGTCCATGCCTAATTTCAAAAGCATTCTATTTCCACCAAAGAAAAGACACTAAAACCTTCCAATATTAATCTCTATCTGACATGAGAAACAAAAACATACGATGGCACTGAGTGTGAAAGCAAGTTGTGTTGACAGTTGATAGATGTAGAGGAAGGGTGTGTTATGTATGAAGGTTGTGTTGACAGCTGATAGATGTAGAGGAAGGGTGTGTTATGTATGAAGGTTGTGTTGACAGGTGATAGATGTAGAGGAAGGGTGTGTTATGTATGAAGGTTGTGTTGACAGTTGATAGATGTAGAGGAAGGGTGTGTTATGTATGAAGGTTGTGTTGACAGTTGATAGATGTAGAGGAAGGGTGTGTTATGTATGAAGGTTGTGTTGACAGTTGATAGATGTAGAGAAGGGTGTGTTATGTATGAAGGTTGTGTTGACAGTTGATAGATGTAGAGGAAGGGTGTGTTATGTATGAAGGTTGTGTTGACAGTTGATAGATGTAGAGGAAGGGTGTGTTATGTATGAAGGTTGTGTTGACAGGTGATAGATGTAGAGTAGAGGAAGGTGTGTTATGTATGAAGGTTGTGTTGACAGGTGATAGATGTAGAGGAAGGGTGTGTTATGTATGAAGGTTGTGTTGACAGGTGATAGATGTAGAGGAAGGGTGTGTTATGTATGAAGGGTGTGTTGACAGGTGATAGATGTAGAGGAAGGGTGTGTTATGTATGAAGGGTGTGTTGACAGTTGATAGATGTAGAGGAAGGGTGTGTTATGTATGAAGGTTGTGTTGACAGCTGATAGATGTAGAGGAAGGGTGTGTTATGTATGAAGGTTGTGTTGACAGGTGATAGATGTAGAGGAAGGGTGTGTTATGTATGAAGGTTGTGTTGACAGTTGATAGATGTAGAGGAGGAAGGGTGTGTTATGTATGAAGGTTGTGTTGACAGCTGATAGATGTAGAGGAAGGGTGTGTTATGTATGAAGGTTGTGTTGACAGGTGATAGATGTAGAGGAAGGGTGTGTTATGTATGAAGGGTGTGTTGACAGGTGATAGATGTAGAGGAAGGGTGTGTTATGTATGAAGGTTGTGTTGACAGCTGATAGATGTAGAGGAAGGGTGTGTTATGTATGAAGCACATCCTCCCTGCTTGTGTGACAATACATCTACAGCTACTTAGTGTAGCATTACATCTGACAGTCGAGACAACATCTCACAGTGACAGCATCACTCATAAACCTCTAGCGTACAGTACATGAAACATCTGATAATCACAACATTCTCAGCTCTGGCATCCCATCTCACCCTAAAAGGCTCTAGCATCCCATCTCACCCTTCACAGCTCTAGCATCCCATCTCACCCTACACAGCTCTAGCATCCCATCTCACCCTACACAGCTCTAGCATCCCATCTCACCCTACATGGCTCTAGCATCCCATCTCAACCTTCACAGCTCTAGCATCCCATCTCACCCTTCACAGATCTAGCATCCCATCTCACCCTACACAGATCTAGCATCCCATCTCACCCTTCACAGATCTAGCATCCCATCTCACCCTACACAGATCTAGCATCCCATCTCACCCTACACAGCTCTAGCATCCCATCTCACCCCCATCTCACAGCTCTAGCATCCCATCTCACCCTTCACAGCTCTAGCATCCCATCTCACCCTTCACAGCTCTAGCATCCCATCTCACCCTTCACAGATCTAGCATCCCATCTTCACCCTACACAGCTCTAGCATCCATCTCACCCTTCACAGATCTAGCATCCCATCTCACCCTTCACAGATCTAGCATCCCATCTCACCCTTCTCTCATCCCATCTCACCCTTCACAGCTCTAGCATCCCATCTCACCCTACACAGCTCTAGCATCCCATCCATTTCACAGCTCTAGCATTCCACAGATCTAGCATCCCATCTCACCCTTCACAGCTCTAGCATCCCATCTCACCCTTCACAGATCTAGCATCCCATCTCACCCTACACAGCACTAGCATCCCATTTCACCCTACACAGATCTAGCATCCCATCTCACCTTTCACAGATCTAGCATCCCATCTCACCCTTCACAGATCTAGCATCCCATCTCACCCTTCACAGCTCTAGCATCCCATCTCACCCTACATAGCACTAGCATCCCATCTCACCCTACACAGCTCTAGCATCCCATCTCACCCTACACAGCTCTAGCATCCCATCTCACCCTACACAGCTCTAGCATCCCATCTCACCCTACACAGCTCTAGCATCCCATCTCATCCCACACAGCTCTTGCATCCCATCTCACCCTACACAGCTCTAGCATCCCATCTCACCCTACACGGCT